GACACTTATTGCTTTAGGAAAGAATTCTCAGCTGGCTAATCAACTCAGAATTTATTTAATTATTATTATTTATTTTTTTATGTCAAGCTGGTCCAGTTTTCCAATTATGGTTAGCTTCAAGAGATAACAAAACATGGACAATGTTCATCTTCGCAACTAGGGAAAATGTTTTTGGTAATCAATACTATAGATCTGAGTGAAACCCTTAGCAACCAACCTCGTCTTATACATCTAGATAGAACCATCTACCTTATAGTTGATACTGAAAAACCATTTGTACCCCCCACTCAATTTTTTCTTCTAGGTAAACTGATGAGGCTCCGAGTACCTCTTTTTTAGGGTTCTATCCGCTATAACTTCTCTCCACTCTGGAATAAGTAAAGCCTCTGCTACATTCTTCAAAATTTCTTATTCCGATAGATTAGCATTCAAGGCTTCAATTGTGGTTGAAAACTTATAGTAGGATACATGTGACAATTTATGGTAGGATAAATATTTAGGGATAGTATGCATTGTACAATGCCTTATATGGGACCAATAGGTATGTTCAAGTCATCATAAATAGAACCAGGCATGGGAATATAATTAATTGATCCTGGCTCACGTTCTTGGCAATGTGAGGGAGCAGGTTGAATATTAGTATGATTCAGATTATTCTGTGTTGAATAGACAGGTAGCTCGGACTGGTGTTCAAAAATAAACTCTTTGAACTAGTTTGTTAATTAGCATGTTGTGGTGACTTTGGCTCAGGTGATCCAAGGTCTAAAATTGGACTAGGTGGGCTTGGATGGACTGTTTGAGTACTTGATATTTGGGAAATTGGGCTTGATGTTGGGTAAAGACAAAGGAGTAAAGCATTTCATAGACGTGATCAAAGTTGACTCGTGTGTCAAAGCTGCTAATATGCTTCATTTTTTGTGCTTTATTCATTTTTCCTTTTCCTCCATTGCTTTTTCCATGTGTTGTGTTTGCTTTATGCTTTAGATTGTAAGTTGCATAGTTCAAGTGTCTAAAGTCCGGGAGTCCATTAATAGGGTGCTTGGGCTAGAGGATTGATACATCTCTCCATACTATCTACCTTTTCACTAACACACAGATTACCCTTGGACCTTGTTGAACTCTTCCATTCTTTTTGTCTGCCTCGGTTTAAAATCACAAGGTAGCAAGTCTATACATATTGTGCTGTAAACTGGCAGGAGTATTCCTCACTGTCAAGGTCTTAAATTCCTCTATCCTAGACAGTTCACATGTTCCATATTCCGTGGGAGTAGGAGGGTCCAAGGAAGAAAATCACATTTAGCAACTAGTTCCTTTTCCCAGAATGCTTTCAGAGAAGAGGACTAGCTATCATACCATGTTGGATAGCAATGATGCCAAGGAGTATATTGAAATTATAAATATAGATAAATTAATGTGTCTCCTCTCTAATAGTTTAACATTTTAGATGGGGTAATTCAACATAGTATGAATTAATCTTATCTGTAACAGGGTTGTACTGTATTTATTAAAAATGTTATTTGTGATGGAAGATGCCAACAAGTGAGAGAGCTCAAAACACGAGTTTCTTTGGGTGGTATGGATTACTGTTGGATAATACTACTATTGTGTTGTGGTTTGATTTCTTTGATGAATCCTCTTTTATTCTTTTAAGCTTAGAAAATATAACATGATACCTGTATGGATGTTATGCTAAGCTTAGGAAAGGTAAAAGTTTGTTTCCAAACATGTGTGGATACATTAATATTTCTTGTTTCAAGTGAAAAGTTATTTTTTTCTAAAATATCTATTACCTCAAAAAAGTAACTTATTTTCAACTTTGGCCAATTAGAAAAATATTTATTTTATGAGCATGTTTAGAAAGTGTTTATAAGTGGTTTAAATCGTAAACAGATAGAAACGAGTAATGGATGAGTGGGTAGTAGGTGTGGTTCTCTTGACGTGTGGATAAAAATTGGCTTGAATGTTTATAAACAATTCACAAACAGGAGCCAAACATAGGTTAAACTTACTTTATACATTTAAGTGATTTAAACTTAGCCAAACGTGTTCTGTCATAATTGAACTTTTATGGTGAGTGTGCAGACTAATGAATGTGACAGATTGGTACGAGCAGAGTTATGGAACCCTTTTTTTTATGACATAAATGAAAGGGAACTCTTTGCTTCAGTCAGTATATTTCTTATATAAATCAATTGCTTAGTCTGCTGGCAGAATTGCTTATGCAGTTTCACCTTTATATGATCCCATATGTTTGTCAATATGGCTATAATGCTCAACTCTCTTCCATCATCATAATGCACACATTCAATCTTAAGTTTGACAAATAATATTTCCTTTTATCGGCTGTTGCTCTCTCCATGCATCTTACCGTGAACAATGAGGAATTTCAATTTTGATTCCCTCATATGAACAAAGTACATCTCATTTTGGATTGTATATACATTTATAGTCACTGTAAAAGATCTCTCATTGAACATGTGGTTTTGTGATTCCAGATAAAATCTTACTACGGCATCTCAAGGAATCTGTTAATAAAGTTCAAAGACGATACAATTGATGAAACTTCAACACTAGCCCAGGTTCTTAGCTCGGAGTCTGCCATTAGCTCGATGCTGGATATGTCCATTCGCTTGTTGCCTGGGGATCATGGGCTTCCACTACACCAGGTGAAACTTCTAAATGATAATTTGAAGCATGCCGATTCTTGTTTTATACTATGTGCACTTACATGCTCGTGCACACGAGAATATGTCTACACTATTGAGCAATAATTAGCTGAATGTAACAAGGAATCATTAAAAATATGAATATCCAGGCTCTTCCAGATGTTCCCCCAGCGATGGCAGATGCAGTTAATCGGGGAGGAGAGTTTTTGGCAACTTTGACTGCAGGGACACCTTGGGAGACTGTTGCGAAGGACATGGGCAACTTTGGGGTAGACTCAACAATTTTTCGTGCAGAAATTTCGAAGGAAATAGATCTTCTTGTGGATGTGATCTCATCCTGGATTGATTCTAACAGCCATCCACGACTTTTAAGGCCACCAAGATTGTGAGCCAATATTATTGGAAAGGGGATAAGGGTTAACAGAAACTGCCAGCTTTGGTAACAAATATGCTTATATTTATTTTATTATAATCTTAGGTTGTCCACCATGCTTGTTCTGTAGCTTCTGCTATATGGACAAGAACGTCGATAAGAAATTTGTAAAGCTTGTTAACCTCAACCAATTTGTTTAGGTGTTAAGCTATGCCCAAGAATGCTCGGGGACTCCACAAGGGTCAAAAGCATCTTTTTGGCCATTCCAGATGGAACTTGCATAGGAAATTTATGCTTCAAAGTGACTGATGAAATTCCAACCTGCCATTTAATTAGTAGTGGAATTATCATTAACAAGTCATTTAATCCATGTTTGGCTCCCTTTAAAGGTTTAAATTGTTTGTTATAGTATCATACTCCACAATACATTCACAAAATAAAATATTTCACACAAATCAATAAGGTTTCTTTATTTTTTAATGATACATTTTCCAAAAAAATACTATTTAAAACTCTTAAATTTTCCAAATAATGGGTGACAAACGGGGCTTACGTGGTGCAATAATTATGCAGCATGAAATATCAGGTTTTCCAATAATTGTGCGCGCTCCGTGAGAGTTGGAGGCAGCATTGTGGTGCATGGTGTTTATACGTTCTATTAGCAGGTGTAGCACCATTCATTCTGATGAAAATTTGGTGGGATGGTTCTATATTTATGTGTGGTTGGACCGTGTCTGTCCATTCATAGAACGGCACTTTAGACTACAAATGTTCCACTTGTTCACTTGATGCTGTGATTTGAATGAGTAGTCCTATTATTTTGCATATATGAATGTCTTACAAGTGTTCTCATTCATTTGAGGATCGGTGAATTCAATGGTTTATTATCTTATTTTGTTCTTTCTCAACCTTTTTTCTTTTTTAAATATTGCTATCAAGATCCAATTAAAGCTATGGAGAGTAAATTCATATTCACACAAGGGAAACTCTGCCATTAATAGCCATTATCGATCCCATTGTTAAATTAGAGGCGTACATCTTTGTGTACACTCCATTGTATCGCCATATGACACAACATAAAAAATGATGTAAAACAATGTACATGTAACATGATTGAAAATGTAATTATGCTTCAAAATTAGGTAACAATGATGCTCCCTTTTCTTCTTCTCCCATAAAGTTGTCTAAGGAGACTATTCGTTGGGATAAAGCTTTTCCTCTATAGCGGCCTCGTGTAGTAAACCCCCTACGGGCATTCTCCATCCTAGTTGCAAGGAACCTTTGGTCTCTCGAGCCTCCTCTATCACCATTCTCTTGCGAATCTTCACTTTCTACTGGTTTTAGAATACTCTTCTACAAGTCTACGAATTAATTGAACAGATATTTGGTGCGGAGATGATAATAAAATTCTTGTAATAAGAATTATGTAATAAATAAAAACGATATTTGAACAATCATATTATATATATATTGAATAATAATTTATTATTGTTGAAAAGTATATAATGCCTCTATATTTATAAGCAAAATTATTTCCTAGTTCTACTACTATTAGGAAACTAATATAAGGAAATTGAAATAAATCATAACCTAAAAGAAGTTAGAAATCATATTCTAAACAAGAAATAAGTGATAGCTCAAGAATAACTAACCAAGAGGGGGGGGGGGGGGAATTGGAAAAAAAAATT